TGTACTACGCAGTAACGGTCAGGACAATCGATGGCCTGGACATTTACAAGGGCAAACCAATCAACGGACTGACATGTACGCTTGACAACTTGATGCCTTTCAAATGGCACCTAATCGAAGTGCGCACACGGAATAAACCGGCTACGACCGACATCCAAGGCATTAGTGGTGGCCTTGGCGAAGCAGTGACCACAAAAGTTGAAACCTGGCCGGGTGGTAAGAGCTGTCTCTTTTATCATCCTTATAACCATGCTTGCTAGAGTCGTTCTTTTAATTCGCCTGAAGCTATATTTACGCCTCCTTAACACAAATTCTTTTTTTTTTCTGGGGAAGGAACTTAGCTTTCTCGCAAGCTGGAAATAATTTAATGGGCGGTCAGCACGATTGCATATATTTTCGGACATTCAACATCCTTGTGGTCGTATCATATCTGTTTTAATGTAAGGATGCGGTAACTCTATAGGTAATGTTGTATTAACGATCTTACGACCTTTTAGTGATAGGCCGAGGAACTCACGAATTTTATTGTACTTTCTGCCACCACTGTGGCTACACCACTCTCTACGACTATATTCAAGGTTAAAATTTCTACAAGCACGTGCAGGTCGCACTGCAGCTTGCCGCTTACTGGCTTTAGCAAGTACGATTACTATAACTAGAACTTTTTGCATAAGCACAGCGCTTCTAACAGAAGTATCCTGACGAAAAATGGCACATGTCACTTTGTTCCAACCTAAATGCACGATAGATCCTCAACTTCTATTACATTTACCTCTATTTAACATTGAGCCTACTAATATCGCTTTGTAGGTTAAGGCTGCATAATAGGTAACATTTCACGCATTTGCGTACCATTTTTAGCAAGTGTGATTACTAGAACTTGCAGTTCTAACATAGGCAAGAAACTTTTAACAGTAGTATCCTAGCCCTAGCAGTTTAAACATAGGAGAAAACCAGGACAAGCACTGATGTGCTGCGGGCTCCAAACATCTAGGTCCACACTCCTATGTGAGATCAAGAGAACACACTCCCAGACATAACACCAATCAGTGTCACTTCTTACAAAAAAATATTATCA